TTTTTCTAAACATGAGTTCATATATTTTTTTTTAATTTTTATTTATTTATTTTATATTTATTTTTGGCTGTGTTGGGTCTTCGTTTCTGTGTGAGGGCTTTCTCCAGTTGCGGCGAGCGGGGGCCACTCTTCATCGCGGTGCGCGGGCCTCTCACTATCATGGCCTCTCTTGTTGCGGAGCACAGGCTCCAGATGCGCAGGCTCAGTAGTTGTGGCGCACGGGCTTAGCTGCTCCGTGGCATGTGGGATCTTCCCGGACAAGGGCTCGAACCCGTGTCCCCTGCATTAGCAGGCGGACCCTCAACCACTGTGCCACCAGGGAAGCCCGATAGAGTTGTTTTGAGTATTAAATTAAATAGGTGTACAAAGTTGATATGTTACTATGGGGTTTCTCAATCTCAGATCTATCGATATGTGGGCCTGATAATTCTTCCTTCTGGGACCAGAATGGCCTCTCCCACCCATTAGAGCCAAGGGCCTACTTTCTGGCATCCATGGGCTGAATAAATGTCAGCTCTAGTTATTGAATAGTTCAACAGACTGTGCTATTTTTGAGATGCTAATAGGCAAGTTCTTACAATAACTTCACTTTTTGTACAGAAGCTAATTGAATCTCTGGTGGACTGACATTATTTTAAAGTGATGGTTAATTTTTGAATCCCTATTTAATGATGTAATTACTTGCTTGACATCTAAGGAAATCTGAGTTGAATGTTTCTGAGACTTTCAATTTTTTCTGAGGATTTTTATTTTGTTTTGAAAAGTTTCAAACATACACACATGTTGAAAGTTTGCTGTAATGATCACCTATTACCAAGAGTCACCCAATTGTTAACATTTTGCCACATTTGTTTATCTTTCTGGAATGAATTTATATAGTCAAAGGGGGAGAGTGGGCATAGTTTGCATAAATAACTCAGACATGATTCATTCTGGTAAAATGTCCTACTTTTCATCTTTCTTTATTCAATTCTACTTATCATTGTGGCAATGGGCTCCATGTCTGAGAATTACACGGATAATTCAGTTTGAATATCTGCATCAAAAGTGTGCACATCTGGATTTTTCTTGATTTTTTTATATCCTTCATATGCATAGTATCTCTTCTGAGATGGATTTCTGGCTAGACACTACATTATTTATAGTAGTCAATGGCTTAAAGTGTCACCATTTGAAGGAGTCTTAACTCTTTTATTTCTGTATTTTCTGAGTCATAGTGAATTCTCTGATCACATTTGGCCCATCTGATTAAAAATAACAAATTGGTAGATTTAAAATTTCTACTTCCAGTTAACAATATAAATTTACCCAGCATCTTAAAAATAAGGCTGTAAACCTCTCTAGAAAAAGTGAATTATATTTTAAATTTTGATAGTTTTTCAGTTACTGCTGAATGAGGAATATGCCAAACATAAATTCTGTCATTATGTTCTAATATATAAAAAAGTACATATTACCTGAATTATAGTACCTTTTCTCATTAACGAACATTTTGCAGAATTTTTAAAAGTAGATCTAAAAATTTATATAGAGAAATATATTGGAATGTTTGTGCAAATTAGGGAATTTCAATTTTCTTTATTTATTGCTTTTTTTAAAAAAATTGAAGAACCCTCTATCACATTTTAAAATTATTTAACTCCAAACCACCAAACGAATTTATTACATCTTATTTGCCAGAGAGGACCCTGGAATCTCTTGAAAGAAAAATTTACATTTGTGAAGCTCAATCTACTGTTTACATTTAAACCCAGTCCTCTAATGAATGTATAATTATAAAACAATTTTAATCTGCAACAAAGCAGTTTTATAATTGTTAAGTCTGCATGATGCATTGTTATTTGTCACATTTATATATTTCTCCATCCGTATCCCAGCTTATTTTGCAAGCAAAAATACTCATAAGATCTCAGTGACTAAAATGGTTAATAGTAGTCATAGTCACTCTATCTCCAGGTAGATAGACATTTCATCCTGGATATATAATTTAATCCATTTAAAAGTGGGAGAAAGCAGTACAATGACCTGTGGATTTAAGGAGGATATAAGTTAGAAACAACTGATGGAGATATACATATATATATAAGTTTTAAATGTTGGATGTTATTTGTTTCTGGTGAAGCAGCCTTTACTTGTAAGCAGGATTGAATTCATTTTCTTCCCAGTGATTGAAACAATCTAAATCTGAGCAAAGCAACCTCCTGCGCCAGATCCTGCATTCTCTTAACCGGTAATAAAGAACCTTGCCGGCCTGACAGGTTGTCACAGCAGTTATTCACACGAAGTTCTGTAGCAGTTGTATCTGTCAGCCCATGTAGTATTGAATATTTTAACTGGCAGTCTTCCAAGACTGAACATTAATCTTACCATCTCCTATTACAGTCCCTAATCAAGATATTCCAGGGGTGATTGCACTAACATTGTTTGAAGACTACATCTACTGGACTGATGGGAAAACCAAGTCACTCAGCCGTGCCCATAAAACCTCGGGAGCAGACAGACTCTCACTGATTAACTCATGGCATGCCATCACAGATATCCAGGTGTATCATTCTTATAGACAACCTGATGGTAATTATTCTTTCCATGATTTCCATAAGTGCATCAACATCTTTTAGTAACATTCCATTTTTGTTTCCTTTAAGGTTAAGTGTAAATTTATTTTTGAGAAAGATTACCAGATTTGACTGCTTAGCATAATTGTATAGAATAAATTCAGTTGATATCAAATACTGCTGTTAAGGGATATGGTTAGAAGCTCAATAATAGTACAAGAATTATGGATTTGTTGAAATCATATTAACCTGAAATGACATTAATACATGTAGTTGGAGAAGTGAAGACTGCATTCTTGAAATCATTTATTTACAAAATAGTTATAGGATCCTAGTTTCTGGACTGCTAGGTGAAAGGAACTATATTTATGTAACTCTGAGGCTCTAAAAATGAGAACTGTATCAAGTTTGCTTAAGCATACGTCTAGTGGGAATTCTATCAGGCCATATGGAATAAAGTTTTGATTATTTTGCTACCCACTATACTATTACATGTAGACCATCATTTCATTATTTTATTTTACATTTATATTTTTAAACCTGTGTATATACTCATCCAAAATACTTTTAGTCTCTGTTTGTTTTTCTGATGGACACTTTTTTCCTACTAAAATACTTTCTATTGTGGAGATACATTCTTAAAATTATTTAATGATAAAATAAATGTCATAGGATGATGAGTAGAGTTTTTAACAAAATAAAATTATATTTATAATCTTGATGAGTTCTTGATTACAACGTTGTATTCAAATACAAGTTATGAAGCTTAAATGTCCTATCTCTCATCCCATATTATATTATTAGCCTTGATTATCCCATTCTGTTGTTGTTTCTTTCTCATCTGTAGTCTCCAAACATCTCTGTATGACAAATAATGGAGGTTGTAGTCATCTGTGCCTTTTAGCCCCTGGAAAGACTCACACCTGTGCATGTCCCACCAACTTCTATCTTGCAGCTGATAACAGGACTTGCTTATCCAACTGCACAGCCAGTCAGGTGAGTGGAGGTCTAGAAATCATTTCATGGCATGTATGAGCAAGTTGTTATAAAGGTTTTGCCTGTGTTTTGTTTATTCACGTAAACCGTTTTTGAAACATCATGTTTTTTGTTTGGCATAGCATTAGATAAACATTCCATACATTATAGAGAGGGTCACAGAGTAAGGGAAAAGCAATTTGATACATATTGTTAAAATGGGAATTTAGGAAGTACACATAGAGGTTAAAAGGAAGACAAAAACAAAAATGGAAACCATTCTTACACCGATCCACACAGAATAATGGTGCAAATCGTAAGCAGGCATAGCAGAATCATCAGGGGAAATCTGACCTATTCCAAGATACCAGGGTGATTGAGGCATAGGGTTAAGACTAAGATATATGCAGTTTAAACAAAGAAAAAAATATTCCTAGATAATCTGCTCTGTATCACCATCTCTACCTCTCTGTCATTCTTCAGAGTAAGTGATATGGAAAATATGTTTGTAAAAAGTAATTTTCTAGATATTTTTATTGAAAATTTATATGATCTAAATAATTTCCTTCTGAAATCTCTTTTTCTTCAAAATGTAGTTATTTTCAGTGAAGCTATCTCAGAAGTTAATTTTTCTACTTAATGGTAGTTGCATGGACTTTATTACTTTCAAAATTTGGACAAAAGTCATATGGCATTATAAAATTTAATTTTTTATATTTGAGTAACTGTCTTGTTTAAGATAAAATTGTAAAGGAAATGTGATTTGTTTTTTTAACATGACTAAATTTATTCTTAGAATTCTGTGTTTTGAATTTGCTGGTTTTACAATTCTAGCAGTGACATCATAGGAAGAGACTGAATTTCTCTTAGGGTGTGCTTATTTTCAAAAAGAGAAGCTAATTCTAGCTCAACTTGCCTCTTAAGTTATGACTGTGAGGCTCATACAATAAAGAACCATATAAACGAAAAAGATCCAACCTCTTCCAGGAAGCAGTATGTGTAGTGGTTAAGGGCATAGACTCTGAAGCCAGACTCACTTTGACCATACTCTGACTGCTTTAAATAAGCTGAATTACCTTGGCTTTGTTACTTAACTACTTGATGCCTCAGTTTTCTCATCTTTTAAATGGGATTGATAATATTTCCAGGCCACCGTTATGAAGATTACATGGGAAAAGTTCCTGGGTCATAGTAAGTGTTGTTGTTATTACCCTAGCCCTCTAGTGCAAGTAGAATATACTTGAGTATGTGTGCAATTAGTGTGAGCTGCCATCAGGAGGTTCTGATGTCTAGTTGAAAGCACAGGTCACAGTCTCTTTTTTCTTTACAACTGTGTTGTTTTAATTATACTCTCCTAAGTATTTATGTGAACAAAATTCATTATTTTTAGAGAACTAGCAATTTGTCACTATGGGAGGTAAAATAAGCAAACTAGAGGTAAAATTTAAGGGAGAAGTCACATCTTTAAAAATTTTTTAATTATAATTTCTGTTAACTTTGTTTAGTTTAGACAGATTTTCAATTTAACCTCTGGGTTATTCTGAAATAACCTCTGTTCTCTTGATTTGGAGCAGACCAGGGTCACTCTGCTGAGGCCCAACACTGAGGCTATAGGTAACTTAGTGGAAATGACACCTGCCTAAGCCCCTTACAGTGTAGTGAGCCTCATTAGCTGACTGGAAATAAAGTAAAGCCAAAGGATGTCTGACACACAGATGAAATCTCAAACAGCAGGACATAGATAGTGAAACATCAGCGTCACTGTAGTCATAAAAGGAATAAGATGTTTCAAATTATTAAATAAGAAAAACCTAGGATTGTATGTATTCAAAGGCAAAAAGTCTGATCAGTCAATTAAATGAAAACTTAAATCAACCTAGAAAAGTATTATTCATATAACTAAATTACCTCTCAATTTGGTACCAGTGATAACATGACTAAAATATTTATAATTTTTCATATACCCCCAATAGTGTTTTGCATGAATTAAAAAAAATAAGCAATAGCAAGACAGTACAGTAACAACAGAATGTTATGGATCAGATATCTTTGTTTTCAATACTTCCTGAAAAAAACAGTTATCACTTCATTTGTCTCGTTTTTAAGAAAAAAGTTAACGAAGAGTAACATCTCAGCTAACACAATCAAGCAGTGGTTGTCCCTGTAAGTCCTGTGGTTTATGCAGTCATTTTATCTCCGATTCTTTTCTGATACAATGGGAGGGAAAAAAGATCTACTGTATACTTCTTGGAGAAAAGTCAGTTCATAGCACAATTTTTAGTGAGGTAGATATTAAAATGAAGTGAATAATTTATGTACTTCAGAATCATATCATTAAGCATTCTGATAAAAAATATTGCATTTTAAATTTATCTTACTAAGGGATTTGGGGTTTATCATCTAGTTACTGCAGCCAACTATACACCCCCAAATATTATTGATTTTTAACAAAATAGGCAAATCACACCGATAAGAATTCTATTAGGATTGGAAATGAACATATGAAAATCTGGTAAAAATCAAGGTTAGGTCCAATTCTTGTGGCACAAATCATTTCAAATATTACATTTAAATCATTTTAATTAGAAAACTATAAAAGTAAATTTAAAATGAATTTACTTATTTTTAAGTGGAGACTCTTCCTGTTTTGAGTAAACTTCACTATATGTAGGATTTGCATTTTATCCATGTACCCACTTAGTAGACATGCATTTAAGAGTTTCTTTATAGCTTCTTCTTGTGGGTGATGATTGCAGTCTGCAATTTATTTTATGAAGCTATTAGTCTTGGAGAGCATTTACCATGAAGAATGTTTTGTATTTATGTTTAGCATTTATCTTTTCAAAGTTACTGTATTTAAGTATGAAAAAAAAGCCCAGACACAAAATAGAAGAAATCTTCCTCTGAGAGTAATGAATAAAATATGGATTAGCATAAAGAGTAATAATAAATATATTTTACCCTGGCCTTCCCTTAACTCAAAACACTTTTATGTCCTTATTAAAAATGAAATGGTGAGCAAAATCATTGTGTCATCATCTATCATTCCAACAGTGGATGTTTATTTAAATCAGAAATATTTAGTAAAATTAAACATGTGTAAATATATGTAAATTTTAAAATATTTTTAATATTAAAAATTTAGATATTTTTCAAATCTTGATTGGAAAGACTTTGAATATACTCAGGAGACTTGAAATCATCTTACTTATATACTTTGATATACTGTAATGACTGGAAATGTTTAATGTTCATGGCAATTGCTTTCAGAGTAAGCCTTATATCCCCAGACAATCACTATCTATCAAAGTAATATTTTTCTTTTGGTAATTTATGAAAGCCATAACAAACATGACCACAGGCTAAGTAAATATGGGAAAATCAGTTGAACAGGGAGATCTTCCCTTGGATTCACAGTGCTCTATTCCCTCTTACAGTGCCACTGGCAAAAAACTTACTCTCTTATTTAAAATATAAATATATAAATATAAATATA